CAAATTTTGGAATTCTACCATTTTCCCGTTCCCAAAGTGCAACATGTCCTTGATTGGTGTTACCCACTTGTGTATTATATTTTGCAAATCTTATACTTCTGTATCACTTGTTGCATTGCAGTAACAATCAGAAAAATTAAAGCTTATTTTTCTTGCTTGTCAAATCTGAGTTGAGAGAGTTCTGTAGAAAAACTTCCTTGAAGTCCCTCCTAAGCAATAGACACCTTTTGTTCTATAATGTGATTGTAGCTAGGCTTTATAATATTTTCATTTTGACATCAAAGAGTGAAGAACAGCTGCATTTGCCGATAAGGTTCACAAATGGTCGACTTGATGGACTATTTTCTCACCTAATTTGTTTCTTTTTTTAAATCCATAGTGAATATAAAAGGTCATAAAATTGATTTCAAATAGTTTTTAAAGCAAAAAAGAAATTACATTCATTTGAATTAAATGTATTGTGCAATACTAAATGAGAATATGGAGGATGGAAAAATATGTCCTGTGCTTGAGCAGTCATTTTTTGTTTTCTTCTCTTTATCATTGCTGCTTATCGTATGATACAGCTCTTTTATTTTTTTATGCTAGGTGTTCACTTGGCCACATTTGCCAGCTGGCTTTACATTTGTCCCATGTATAGACCGTATGTCTAATAAATCACACACCCTTAAATAACTAAAGACATCACAAGTATAACATGAACTCTGAACATGTCAGTGAAGCAACTGGCTTTACTATGCAACCTTAGCATTCGGTTTGAAGTAGGAGTTTGTAAATCTGATGCTTTCTTTGTAAGGACTACTTAAGGCAGCGTCCATCCAAGTTTCAGAAGTTGGTAAATTTTTGTTCTCTAGACTTTTCCATTAGTTCATCCCTTTTTTATTGGAGAATCTCACTACCATTTTTTGGACGGGGCCTTACACTGTGAGCACAAAGGTCACACAAGAGAAATGGTAGTTTCTTAATAAATGACTGAGATATGCACTGTTTGAGCAGTGATTATGGACGTACTTCAATAATACAATAAATTTTAAACCCATGTCTGTAAGTGTGTGAGGTCAACTGTAGTAGTTTATATAACTCGTATTATGTTTTAACATGCACTTTATTGCAAATAATAAGAACTAAACCACTGCTGTTTACACAGCATATGTTGTAGTGAAAAAGCAGAAAATATATACAGGTAATATATTATTAAATGTACAGATTATTCAGTCATTCTAATGAGATATTCATGGGGCAGAAGGTTGAGAGTTCATTTTTCTTAACAGTCCCTGCTATTAATGGACAGTGAATTCCATTAGCTAAACCATTTCTTATTGCTTGATCTGTGACTTTCGAAGAAAATTAGAGTCACATGTGAATGTTCAGTTTGGAGAGAAAGGAGTTGACAATTCAGGATGACTCACTTCAGGTAGGAGAAACAGACAGGATGGTTTGTAATATTCCGGTTGCTTTTTTCTGCTGTTACCGGGATTTGCTTAACTGTTCAGGGACAGAATTCCAACATCTGGCCCTTTCAGTTAATCTTATATTTCTGCAGTGCATGCACAGGAAGAGCAGCAGATAAATGTAGTCACTTCAGCAAGCGCGTGAGGTCTTATGAAGCTTGCACTCAAAGAATCCTTGTCCTTCTCTGCCCATAACTCAGCCCAGATCTCAAATGTTCAGCTATGGCATGACAGAAAGAGAGGTAACAGAGTTTGTAATGACCAAGTCTCAGCCATCTGTTCTGATTCTCTTCTCTGTTCCAGTCACCAAGCAAGCATAGCCCTCAAGGACTAGAATGTGTTAGTCACTGGGAGGCATGAAGGTGGAAAAAAGAGTTTGTTTTGAAATGGAGTAAATGCAGATATGGAAAGTTACTCCACTTTCAAATGCCTTAACACTACTCCCAGGCTCCTTCTGTTCTGTAACTGTTCAATCTCATGTTCTCTAATTTCCCCTTCTTGTGTTCAGGTTTCTCTGGTTTCTGTTGTCATCTCATGTTTAGTTTTGGGGAAGAGCTCTTGGAAATATAGTATAGTCCTTTTCCAACATCTCATTAATCTTTCCATTGCCTCCTCCACTGTACCTCACCTCATATCCCCACCAAAGCATTGGCAGTGGTACTGCCATTAGTTCGTACCTAAATTCTGTTATATGCAGCACTGCAATTAGTTGCATAAAGTCTCAAGACTTATTTTGACTATATGGGCATTCAAACATTGAACTTGTATACTCAGGCTGCACATAGGTTGCTAATAAATCTACAAGCTTTAAATTTTTTTTTTCTTTTCTTTTGGGGAAACTATTGAAAATGTGTGAATGTAAGGAGGATAATTATAGATAGAGTATGGGTCTGGCTGAGGAATGTAGTTCCCAGCATGGACTTAATGTAGTTCCCAGCATGCTAATAAGGTACTTAGGTAAGCAATGAACAGTCTTTAGGCTCTGCTAGCTTTAGCAAAATATTTGTAGGAGATAGACCAGATTCAGGACAATCCCTGTTTTGTTGGTTGTTTTTTTTTTTTCCACCTTCTAATTATTTAGATACTGCACCTAGGTCAAAATCAAATCTAATTTTCTTGCATATCTGCAGTCATAAAAACAAGAGGAGCAAGGAAAATCAAACATAAGATAACTACAGCAGCAGAAATACATACATAGGACATTTTTCCAAATTTTTATACTCAGCAGGTCTTTGAAAGCAGCTCAGCAGGCTGAGTAGCTTTCAGGAGCATTTCTTCTTAGGAATTGAGTGATGACTCGTGTGACTCTTTGCTACTTTAAAGTGCATGCTAGCTGCTAATTACTTTTTTCTAAAGGCAAGTTGAAAGGACTGGTGTGTATCTTCATATTAAAAAGTACTGATGCAACATGGAAGTACTCCAGGTGAGTACTACAAGCCTGAATGGCTATCCCCTGAAAAAAGAAAAGGTTTTCTTTGCATGGGAAAGTATCTTTTAGCTTTCTGTGTTTTATTGTTTGTTTCCCAGTATGCTCTTTCTTCACATCAGCAGAACACTAGAGAGTGCTTTGATTCACCAGTGTGCTGAATCAGTGTATCTGAAGCTTGTAGCATGTTATGGTTTTATTACTTTCTATCTCTGTCAAAAACAAAAGTTTATTAGAGAATGGCTCAAGCCGAAAAAGACAGAAAAAGAGCAAATATGAGGACAGGCTGAGAGAGTTGGGTTTGTTCAGCCTGGAGGAGAGAAGACTCCAGGGAGACCTTATTGCAGCCTGCCAGGACTTAAAGGGGCTTACAAGAAAGATGGGAACAGAATTTTTAGCAGGACCTGTTGCAATAGGACATGGGGTAATGGCTCTAAACTGCAAGGGGGCAGATTTCAACTAGATATAAGGAAGAAATTTTTCACAAGGGTGGTGAAACCCTTGGTGGTGGTGGATGCCCCATCCCTGGAGACATTCAAGGCCAGGTTGGACGGGGCTCTGAGTAACCTCATCTAGTTGAAGATGTTCCTGCTCATTGCAGGGAGGTTGGACTATATGGACTTTAAACACTGTTTCCGACCCAAAAATTCTATGATTTTGTGAACTAAAAGAAACTCAAATTAAGGCTGAAATAGTGGCAACCTGGGCAGGATGAGACCCAGTGTACTTACACTGCTGCCTTTTGTGCTTTGCCAGTTGCAGGGGCAGTCTGAGGTAAGCTGTATTGCTGTTTATATTTTTGCTTTGAGAGCAATTCCACCATGTCATGTGTAATGATGGTTATTAGCAGCTATGGTTTGCACACATGCTGCTCTCTTGTCCTCTTTTGCACTTTTATTTTCCTGGGAAAATTAGAAAGGTCAAATGCTTTACGGAATAGCTGACTAAATATCTTCCTCAGCTAAAATGGCAGAAGATGCCATAAGGCAAATGTGGCTACAGCTGGGATGCTTCATTCCTTTTTTGCCCTGCTCATAAGACTAAACATGTCATTGGTGCTTAATGTCCAGTGATTTAGGAGTTGGAACCTGAATTAATTTTCAACTCTGTTTGTATCCAGTGTAATGCACAGCAGGCTCCTTTCAACCCTAGCATATCTTACTCTCCTTTTGAATATAACAGCAATGCTGACCTTTTAGAAATAAAATGGATGGGGATATTTCTGAAGCCAGAATTAACACAGAGGTCTGAATTTAAATAAATATATTTTGCCAGAACAATATAATAAGGTAAAAATAAAAAGCAACCTGACAAGAAAAACTGCTTTCATTTCATTGTTCTTTTTGAAAGTAAGAAATCAAAGAGATATTATGCACACACAAGAATATGCAATTCTTTACTCTTTAGCTCTTTTCTTATATTCACTGATTTTCATTCCACTGAGAAATAAAACAGTATTTTCTTCTATACAGTCTAGAAGAATGTATTTTCCTGCTTAGTTAGTAGGGTTAAAACTGGTATTTTTATTAAACACTGAGTACTTCCTCATTTATCATTTTATATTCTGTTACTTGTTTCCAAGGAGATAGAAATATGCAGGAAAGTCATCTGAGACCCTGATACGACTGTCCTCTTTAAGGAGAGTTGAATGTGCCCTGTTTTAAGGAACAAAATAAACTTGGAGCTGCTATAGTAAAGAGGTTGGAACTTCAAATTTCGTTTCTGTGCAGGCCTACTTTCTGCTTCTGGAAGTTGGAAGAAAATGGTAAAATATTCAAATCAGTATCAGATTATCATTTAGTGCCTCAGCTGTCCTGGTTTCTACACTGAAGCAGGATAGGAAGTTCCCTTGCCCACCCACCCCTTGTAGTAGTGGCTTTCTTCTGATAGTTCAAAGTATTTCTTGAAGGACAAGAATGGACAGTAGACAACAACTTTTTTTTTTTCCCTGTGAGTTCTTCAGAAGTGCTAAAGCCTGGATGGTTCCATAGGTATTATAAAAGTCTGTAACTGTTCAATGAAGTGCCAATGATAAGTTCTAAACAGACATATCTTTCTTTTTTTCTTTCTTTCTGTTATAAAATCCTAAATGAATCTGAAGGTAAACAGATCAGTTGTCTTACCTGAAGTAGTCTTCACCACCTCAGTTGTATTTCTTAATCCTGTAAAGGAGAACTGGTAAAGCCTCCAGGACCTGGTGTCCCCCACCTCCACTGAGCTGCGCTTCCATTGGTAAATGATCTCTTCTCTTGGGTAGCCATCTTATTGCAATGGAAAATACAGAATGCTTTGTTTCATAGTCATTGCTAGGATTTTAGTGTACTTTGGGGAGTAAAAGTATTGTTTTCTATTTCTGAAAAAACTGGAGAAGCATACTATAATAAATTATAGATACGTTTTTCTCAAGTTACTTAGTAGTACCTTTTACTTAATGTCACATTTTATTTTATTTATTATAAATCAAAATAGCATTTGAGATAAATTTTTCAAAAATGAGGTTTCCACTTTTGTGGACCCAATAAGATGCAATTTTGCCCATCCTTCAATTATGGCCAAAAAGTCTGCAGCTGACCAGGAATTCATGCCTTGTCCTGACTGCAAAATGTCAAACTCTTGACTCCGACTATTGCAATAGTAAAACACCCGTGCACAGAGAGAAGGTGTCAGGCCATGAGGCCGATGATGAAAGTAAAAGTTTGTACTGATATGCTAAGATACAAGCATAAATTAATCAGATAGGTCCCAGAAAATGTATAATTTTTTTATATAGTGTTCCTCAATTATATTTGTGGACATCTATGATTCATGTACTTGAAAATAATTTCAAAATAAAACTGAAAACCATTGGACTATGTCTAGTTAAGAACATAACCCTCGCTGACTTTAAGTATGTAAATATAAATTTATAATAAGTGATTCAGTGTGGGTCAGAAAAAGGATATTTCTAAGCATGTTACTTACAGCTTGAAAATTCCAGGGGGCAGGAATGGGCATCCATTGGAAAGTTGTGTAACTGTAGCTGACACTCAGCATCAATTGTCAGCCTGAGGAGAAAAAGATCAGGATATACAGAATACACTTGAGAAGTTTGTCCTGAAAGCTACAAAATGGCAAGCAAAATGAGATTCTTACTAATATAGAACCTGGCTATTAAATATGCAAATATATAATGTATTATATATATAAAGGAAAAGTAAAGTATTGATATGTATTAATTTGGGTATTCCAAGCATAGGAAGACATCATGGTTACTGATAAGCAGTATTTCTTTTTTGGTTACATAGGCTCTGATCATCTACTTTCTGGACTGTGTTGTTAAATAAGGTATTAAAGTTCTGTTCCTGTGCATCTGAAATGGCAGCATTACTCATGACTGGCAAATCCATAAGTAGATATACAGGTCATATATGGTATAGCAGTGACAAATCTCTGTGTCACAACATGCCATAATGCAGTAGGGAAATCTGTTTTATGTGATGAAAATTCTATTTCAGAAATGATGGATGGAAGTCCAAATTTAGACATCTACATCCAAGACAGCCATCTAAACTGCCTTCATAGCCAGCGGAAAGGTGCTCTGGGGATACATTTAATTTCATTCCAAAATAAGACATTTAAATCAGAAGAATGTATCGAAAGGTGTTTCTCTCCACTGAATATCAGGAGTCTCCATGATAACCCAGGTGGCATAGGTGCTATAGATCAGGTAGAGACACATACTTTTAGAAAACCAAAATTAGGTGAAATGTACCCCCTGATGTGTCTGTTAAAAGCCATTTTTCATTCAGCCCCATAATTGTTGCTAGCCTATATGTAGCCCTAGCCCTACCGTGAACTGCATGATTTTGGAAAGGAGGGAGGAGGTGGGGTGAGAGATGGAAAAAGGAAAAGGAGAATTTAAAAAAAGAGCAGAATGATGTTTATTTGTTCCACAAGTCTCGAGGAAAACTGTAGGTTTCTGGTCTTTGCTGATTCCTGGGTGTCCGAATGAACAACCCTGTGAGCTGGGTTTGTCTCCTGGCTCCTGCACGTACGTGCTGCATGCAGATGACTCCCTTGGTCTCCTACTGTAGGATGCAGAGGGATGCTGTGACCACTAGCCACCAAGTTAATGAAGTCAAAAGGAAACTTTTCCGCATTAGGGATTTAGGAACAAATCTCATTTCCTTTGAAACTAGGGAAAGTTCTGTTTGTGACACAGAAGGAGAGCTGATTCTGTGAGATAATATTATTGCTCTTTCTTTTTCTTCTCATTTCTATCATATTCAATTTAATTTCAAGGTAGTCATACTATGGATCCAAAGAACTATTCTAAGTTCTTTCTTCGATATTGCCTTTTCTCTAATGATTATATTTAATACTGTTTGACTTTGGGATAGGTTCAGATTTACTGCTGGTTTTAATTTGTTTTCTCTTGTGGAATTCAATATATTTCATTCCCCAGCACAAAGCACAATCCAGGCTTTGAACATTTCCAGGCATGGATTTTTCTGGACATGTTCCTGTTTGACCATTCTCACAGTAAAAAAGTTTCTTCTTATGTTTAAACAGAATTTCCTGTATTTCAGGAAGCCCATTGCCTCCTGTCCTATCACTGGATACCACTGAGAAGATTATGTCTCTGCCACCTTTACCCCTTCCAGCCCCTGCCTTCTTTACCCCCATCCATATTACACACATTGGTAAGATCCCCCGAGCCTTCTCTTTTCGAGAGTCACAGCCTCTCCCTGCACGTCAGGTGCTCCTAAACCTCGTGGGCCTTCACCGCACTTGCTCTAGTCAGCTCATGTCCCTCTTGTACTGGGGAACCTAGTACTGGACCCAGCACTCCAGATGTGTCTCACTAGTACTGGGCAGAGGCGAAGGATCATCTCTATCAACCTGCTGGAAATAGTCTTCCTAATGTAGTCCAGGATGCTGTTTGCCTTTGCTTCAAGGGCATTTTGCTGGCTCATAGTGAACATCCGCCAGGATCATCAGGACTTTGGCTGCAAGGTGCTTTTCAGCTGGTCAACCCTGATACTGTACTACTGCAAGGGGTTATTCCTCCCCTGGTTCAGGACAACATTTTTCTTTGTTGAACTACATGAGATTCTCGTTGGCCCACTTCTCCAGTGTGCTGCAGTCCCTCTGAGTGGTAGCACAACTCTATGATATACCAATCACTCCTCCCAGTTTTGTATTACCTGCACACATGCTGAGGGTGCACTCTGTCCCATTGTCCATCTTCCAATGAAGATGTTAAACCGTATTGGCCTAGTACAAAATTGGAGAGTACCCCACTGGTGACTGCTTTCCAGTTGCCCTTCATGCCACTGATCCCAACCCTCTGCGCCTGGCAGTTTAAGCATATTCAATCCACCTCAGTGTCCACTTATTCAGCCTGTACCTGATCCTCCTCCACCAAAGGTGAGTCTTCCTTGCTCCACTGTCCTACCGGTCTCAGGGACCTGGGATTGCTGAAGGCTGGGTTTTACCAGTAAAGACTGAGGCAAAGAAGGCATTGTGTACCTTGGCCTTTTCAATGTCCTTTGTGACAAGGTCCCCATTTCCATTCAGTAGTGTACCCACATTTTCCTTAGTCTTCCTTTTGCTTAGGATGTATGTGTAGAAACCCTTTTTGCATGTCATTACTCAGATTTGCCTCCAGATGAATTTTGGCTTTTCTAACCCTGTCCGTGAGTGCTCAGGCAGCATCTCTTTATTCCTTCTGGGTCCCCTGTCCCTGCTTCCACCTCTAGTATATTTTCTTTTCACATTTGAGTTTTGTAAGGGGCTTTGTGTTGATCCATGCAGACTGCCTGCTAACTTTTCTTGATTTCCTGCTGGTCAGGATGGGCTGTTCTTGAGCTTAAGGAGGACATGACTGAGAAAATCAAACAGCTCTTCTGGACCCCTCTCCTCTTCAGGACAGAATCCCACATCTGTGATCATGCTGTCACATTTCACTTCTGGATTAATCCAGGTCGAATCCTTACTGGTGCTTGCTGTGACTCACTGGAACAACTAAGTATACATTAGTAGCAGATAACTTAGTTTCTAAGTTCTATCTTTCTAATGAGAGAAACTGAGGGGTTTGAAAAGAAAGGTAATGAAATCCAGAGAGACAGTAGTGTAGCTATGGCCAAATTTAACATTTCAAAAGTGGACCTAGGATCTTTTTTATCAGGCTGACTTTGATTTGCACTGGATTTCCATTCCGATCATTCTCTTATTTCTTCTGGCAATGCAATGTGTAATGAATGTAAAATAACTATGAAATAAAACTCCTTTTTGTAATTGAAAGAGTTGCAACATTAAAAGGTTGTCTTAACCAAAGCTTCAGATCTATTCATTAAAATTATGAGTGTACTTTTTTCAAAACTTTATTTTTGGCACCCAATAAAACAAAAGCAGAAAAAAACACTGTAAATGCAGTATAAAACTCAGATTGTTTTACATCTAACATCTCTGATTCTGTGCTCTCATTTAAAATCATAAACTCTCTTGAACAAATGCTATCTTTAACTACATTTTACATAGAACCAAATATTATATCACATGTAAGAAAGCCTAAAAAAAATGTACTTAGGACTTTCACATTTAGGAAGTATCTTATGTTCATTAGGAATATGATATTTGAATTGTTACATATTGCATATGTTCACTTAAATGTAGGCATGCGCATGACAATTATTTAAAAGATAGGTTTTAAAGGTCATCTGTCTCAAAAGAAAGGCTATACACGTGACTGAGAAATCTGGAGATGGGCATATCAAGTTTAGATTCATGAAAATTTTAGTGGAACAGGGCATATCTGTAGGTTTTGGATTAAACTTTAAATGACCAATGCTGAAATGATAATCCTTATTTTCATAAGATATTTGAGGAATGAAATGCTTTTGCAGGGTCTAGGCTTCATCTAGCTAAATTGTAATCAATTCAGAATAAGAGGTCTTTGATGTATATAATGCCACCTTTTATACCATCTACTTAATTCAAGGATACTTTGAATTCATCAGTTTAACTCAATAAAAAAGTAAAAGGCAGTATGGACCAAACCAGTGCCAAACAATAAAACATACCTGAAAATGAAGGTGAATTACTATAGGACTGCTTATATTCATTTTAGTATAGGAATGTGACTATTGTGGAGCAAGACAGTACAGTCTATAGGAAGAAATAAAACTCTTTACTGTGCCACTATAAAATAAGTTGCATGCAAGTTACATCTTCTGAATATTTCCCTTTTTCAGGGTTGTATGAATAAGTAAATAGGGAAAAACAATGTTTTTTTTCTTCAGGTTAATGTCAAATTACCTGAATTCACAGGACCTTTCTCTGGCTTTCCCTAGAGAAACTGAAATTAAAGTCAGATATAAATACCTCAATGTGTACAACACTCTGCCGTCATTCCAGATCCTGAGCATCCTATTAGGAGTTGTTATCCAATGAGCATCAGCTTTCTTGGAATTTCGGAAAAATGTATCTGGTATCCAGATCTTCCCAACCATGTTGCTGTTTAATCTGAGCACTTTTATAGTGCTGTTGAACTTCAGACGTCTGTCATACCACGTTTGGGCGAAAAATATATCAATTGTATATTCCTGTTGTGTTAACCAGAAATACCGATGAAAACATAGCACTCAGCATTTCACATAACTCCTGATATGCTTTCCTTAATCTTATAGGAAAAAAAGTGAACTACAAAAGATGATACTAGAACTGATAAAAACAATTTTTTGTCAATTTTTGAGGGCATGATTTACCAAAGATTTTTGTTTAAAAACAATTTATTGTGTTGTTTTCCCACTGACGGGTGAAACTAAGATGCAGCTGAGTATGCACCTTTCTAATTCTGTGTCCCCACACCTCAACCCATGCCTGATCAGGTCAGAGAACAATTACTTATTCTCTTAGATCTAGGACAGGAAAAATTTGAGCTGATGTGGCTGCCTTAATTGCCTCTGCCTCCCCTTTAATAGCAGAAGTGGTGAAGTCTCACTTCCCCGTGCACCACTGGGCAGCCAGAAGCTGAGAAATCCATAATGGAAAAGGGCAATCTGAGATTTCTTTCAAATTTTCTTTCAAAACATGAAAACTACATGAATAAAGGAGACATTCTGCTAAGTCTAGACCACTTTCCCTCACCTGTACAAAGATATAATTAAATTTTTATGCAGGAACTTTGGAAAGAGGAGAGGAGAGGAGAGAGAAGCTAGGCTTTTTTCTTTTTATCTCTTGGCGGCAAAAGTAGTAATATCACTGGTGAATGGTTTTCCTTATTTTGTAGCAGTCTGGAGGCTCAGTTTTACAGGAGTTAAACTGTCACAAAGCACTTTAAAGTAGAGCTCATAAAAATGTGACAATATGTTAAAACTGTTATTATTACAGTTTTTTCAGCATACAGCTCAGTTTCCCTGTCTTATAGAGATCTATAGCTCATATAGTTTTCACATCCATAATAATTATGAGATTTAAAAAATAATATAGGTCAACATTAAAATTAATGGAAACTTTGTAATGTCAAAAATTATGGAGGCTTTGTAACAAAGTAAACGTTGTAGGAAAATTGGCAATCATTTACCTACCATATTGATAGCATTCACAGGCCCAATGCTATTTACGTACATGTCAGTGTGAATTACTGTTGGTTTAACTGCAAGAGAAACAAGAAGAATCAGTAATATGAGTGAAGGTCAAAATCAACTACATGGAAGTCAAACACAAGTGAAAGATTATTATAGTACCTCTCTTGTATGGCTATGGTTGCCTCACATTTAAATGTGCATATACAATAAATATAAATTTGCAGCAATGTCTCCAGTTTGGAATTAGCTGGAGGCACTTTGAGACAAATTCTTATATCATTTATTCTATCAGAACAAATTCACTTATGCTATGAGAACAAACTGAAACCAGTGTGGTTACCTTAGAGTGAGTCGTATATGATTGAGAGTATGTATATTTTGTGTCAGGTCACAGCAACACATCTGACAAAACACTATCAATGAAAGCAAACTTATTCTTCTTATGCTGTCTTGCATAACTCATTCTACATTGTAATGCCAAATGCAACATGACTGCTGTTGCCTGCAGAGATGGATGTAGGTAGGCAATAATTTCATGAGCCCAAAGTAAAAATAAAACTCAAAGCTTTAAAAGAGGAATGAAAAACAGTTGTTTGATTAAATTGTTTTGAAATTACTCTATTCTAGCTTTATTATTTTTATACACCTTGATTAAAACATGATTGTTTTTTCCCAAATGCTTTTATGAATGCTTAATTACTTTCTGTTCTCTAAAGTCTTGGACTGGGAGAATAAGACAAATTCCTCTGCTAATTTACACTATATACATACATTGAAGGTTAAATACTCATGTTATCCCTCACGGTGAAAAATTCCTTAGTTTGTAAGCCTCTATAAACTTGTTAGAAACAGCTTCCTTCATTAACCTTGCTGCGCTCTGCTTTCCTCTGCCTGCCTCATCCATGAATTCTCTTTGCGTTGTTCTGTAATCTTATTACCGCTCTATCCTCTTCTACAGAGGTGTGGTCTGCCTGTTCTGTGCACGCATGGCCCCTTCTCAAACTGACTTGCAGCAACTCAGGGAGATTTATCTCTTTGCGCTCCCTCAATAATCAGTGGAAAGGAAGATTCCTGCAAACGGTGATTCAGTCAAATCAGACTTCCATTTTGAGTCCAAGCTTGGGTGTATATGCTCACGTTGGCTGTGGGGGAAATCTAGGGAGATCGGCCTTACTTGGCTGCAGTTATCTTCTGTGGCCCTCTTCCCCTGTGCCCCATTCCCCAGTCACTTCCTGCCCTGCTGTGCAAGCGAGGCCCCATGCCGCATCAGTCAAGGCAGACCTGCTGCTCTTCAAGGCTCGCTTTGTGTCCGTCACATCATGCAAGGATCGGGCTGCATTATCCTCGTTTTGACCTTCCTTTCCAATATATTATTTGTGATTCTCTAACACCCTCACTTAAATATACAAAGAAGATAAAAACCTGCTTACTCTGTCCCCAACAGTTAAATTCCAACATTCCTATGCAGGTGCATCATTACAAGCGGCCTGAATCAGCAAATCACAACAGTCGTCTTAGATGTCTCAGGATAGATTTAGCAATCTTAATTTATGTCATCTTACAAAATCACTACTACTTTTCATGCCACTGATGTTTTATTGCATTATATTTTGTTTTCACAACTACATTGAATAGATTCTGCTTCCTGTGTAGCATAATACGGTATGAAAATTCTTTCTCTTCACTGCTTAATCAAAAGTGGTCTAAAAAGAAAACCAACATACCTCCTATATCAGGTCTCAACTTGTTGTCGTATCCTTCCAACAAGCCATTTAAAATAAGAGTGACATCACTCTCATGGACTTTGGGAGTCAAAACCCAAGTCTTATTTGAAGTGTAATCTTCATAATCATCATCTCCCTTTTGGGTGGAACTATTAAAGAAATAAAAATTAAGAAATGGAAAGCCTTGAAAAATATGAATTTGTAGGCAACCTCCTCAGAGACAATACGCACCTAATTCAGGTTTTAATAGTACTTTACAAAACATTGAAAAGTTGCTTGCTTCATAAAATTTAGGACACTCCCAGTAAAGATGTCACATAACAGTTGAGGTTACAGTTCACTTTAGCAACATTTCCTTTTAGTACTGTTAAGATCATATTCTGTCTATTTGAAGGAACATCAGTGCTTATCACCTTTGTTATGCCTATTTTTTCTCTCACTGACTCAGGTGGGACCTGTTATGAAACAAATCTAATTGTCACTTAACTTATGCAACTTTCCACCAAAATATCACTTAGTATGTACACAGTGTTGTTGCATTACTTCTCTTTGAGAGAACAATTTGATGCAACACATTACTGACAAGACCAATAATTAGACTCAATCAAACAAACTGTCACACAGTCATTCTCCACTCTGATGAACTTCAGCTTATTGTGCATTTGGAAAGTTCAGCACAATTTTTTGCCAATGGTTTTCGTTTTCGCTTTTGCTAACCTGAACCCAGAGAGAATAAAAAGTCTGTCTACATTTTTTTTCTGCTACCGAGCAATATGACAGCTGATGTAGTATAATTTAACCTGCTTAGCACAGTAAAAAGGACAAGTTAGGAATGAGAAATGTGTAGACTAGCCTTAATGAATGTTTTGTTTTCTTAAAATCTGTGCCCCCAGTTCTAGAGGAGAACATAGAAACTACTTTAGAATATTACATAATCAGATATTTTCATTTCAGAATGTAAGTGGTAATCAGCTGAATGGTTCTAGGCAACTGTAAGTTTTTTTTGCATAATATGCTTCTGTGATAAAATTTGAACACTACTGGATAAGAAAAATCTTAATAATACTACAGATGTCTTAGGCCAGTGGGTGGGGTTTGGATACAAATGGGTCAAAAGCAGAAAATGTAATTATTTTCCTGTTTCAGCCAGAATCTGTACAGAACTGAGAAAGAACAAAGACAAGTAGATTTTTATGGGAGCTGGAACTTATGTTTGTCACACAAGATTGAAAGTAGACACAGCTGACCATGGTCATGGGTGTAATAGTGAAGGGTTGACTAGTCACAGAGTCTGCGAGTGCCATTCTGTTACACAGATCTTCGCTCAGCTGAGGTCTTGACACTCCTCCCTATAGTGCTATCATGCTGCATCCTGCTTATGCCTACTTATGCCTGCTTATGCCTAGTGGATGGCCTGAAGGCTTTCCTGTGTTGGGCATTAGGGAGCTGTAAGCCAACTGCACAAATACAACTTAACTATGAAAGAGGCTTTAGCTTCTTTCTTCCCCATGGGCGCTCTCTGACAGGAAAGAGCCACATACGTCCATGCCTCTCTGTATAAGGCTCTGCTTCGCATGAGGTGCTGAAGGTACAGTGAAATTTGAAGTGGCCTGAGACTGTGCATAAGGCTGTAGCAACTAGGAATGCATAGCATGCGTAAGAGCCATCTTGCATTGCATTGAATTGAGCTTGGAAGCTGTTGGTGAAGCTAGGTTAATCAATGCCTTCATCACATGTACTGAGCACCACTGACTGCAGCCTCCAGGCACCACCTAACCCACCCTGCGCCAGCGATATGCATCTGGGTGCTTCAGCTTCCTAGTTCAAGAATAGGCAACCCAACCTCCTCCCTCTGGCTATGTAATCCTGAAGCTGTAGTGTTCTACTGGCAATCAAAAGTGGAAATTTATTTGGCAATGTGCTACATGGTATTCTGCTGGTACTGACAGGTAGGTCAGGATAATGAAATTGGTTGGGGAAATTTGTTTATTTGGCTGTCTAGAGTTCAAACATCTAACTGTCATTCAAAGGAATGTAACTGAAGCAAGGTTCCCCCTCCTGCAGGAAAGGAAATCCTTCCAAATACAGACTTTGCAAGCAGAAGGCACTAGATTATATGTTTTCAGTCTGTGCAAAGTGAATGAAAAAAACTATGTATAAAAAGCCATACTCCTGTTTTATAACTAATTAAACATCCATTCTCTGAAAAGAATAGCTTTTCTGAATGGAAAAGAAAAAGTAAATCAAATACATTCTTTCACAAAGGCAATGTGTCCCTGAACGTTGTGATGAGGAAGCTTCAAAAATCAAACAGCTAGTTAGTAGAGCCTGGTGTACTGGACAGTGCAAGATTAGAAGATGAATAAGTACCTTTGTCTAGGACTTGTCTCAAATCTAGAACAATCTTATTGAACAGCAGCCCACAGTCACTAAAACTTCCATTTTCTCTTGGTAATTATTTGTAGGAAAGAAATAACTATTTGTTTGCTCATCTGCTATTTCAAGCCATTTTAGCACTCCAAATCTCAAAAAACAGCAAATGCTTTATGAGATTAGTGTGAGAGAGAGGAGAGGAAATGCAGCCAGTGTAACTAGGGAAAAAAGCCCACTGAATTCCCACCTTTATCTGGATTCCAAGTGGATCATAAGTTAGCATGGGTATCCAGTTGTCTAAGTGTCTGTGTAAAACTGCATACCAGCCAGAACAACCAGAGGTGCATCTCTATCTAGATGAGCAGGGCTTTAGCTGTGCAATGTCATTAATACTAACGAAAGTTATAATAACAAAACCCTTTTCATCTCCTTAAGACTTTTGGATCAGTCCTTCTGATCATGTGGTCTAAATTTTGCAAGTGTTTTTACTGTTCAGAATAAATTTGGTAAAGCCCAGATTATACCTAAATGCATATTGAAATCTCGTTATTTTTATGACTGCTAGAAGTTTTCAAAGCTAGTAATATACGTATGCAAAGAAACATATATTTAACTATTTGCAGATTACAGTACAATTTTTTGGAAGTTAATGTTTCAGACACTGATACAAAATCTCACTGTTTGAGATGTTCCCACTTCTGATATTAATGCCATTGGAAGGTGTGTGCAAGATTGCTCTACATAAAGCCAGTTTCCCTAATTGGAAAAGAGATGGCTTAAGCGAGTCAGAATCCAAACTTGAAACTTCAAGTCATGGAGTAATTAAAGTTAGAAGGTGCTTTTGGAGGTCGTCTGGTCCAATCCCTGCTCGGTTTGCCAGCTATGCCTGTGTGAGGTAGCTATGATTGTAATTACGTACATGTATATATATAACCATGAGTGTGCCTAACATTCACGAGGCCTCTTTGTATGTGTCAAAGTACCTGAAATACATCTTCACAAAGCAGATAGAGGGCAGAAATCACTGTATGTTAGTAAGCATTTATTAATTCAGATCAGAAAATACATTAATTTGGACTACAAGAATATTTGTGGGTGGATGACAGCACAAGATTTAGTCATATTTTAAAAAAAATTTGATACAATGTGCAAAGATCTGCGAACTGGTATCTCACTCTACAATTACATGCAAACCTCATTCTGCCAATGAGGTTTTTACCTAAAAAAGAGAGAGTTTTAAGTCATGTTTCTTATCTTCCACACTATAAAATACACATACTAATCCTAATTCATTAATAAAGTTGTTACTTGATTTATAACATTCATGTAGCTCTTTCAAGTGCTCATTGGTGAGATGTAACTTTAGGACAAACTGAGATTACACAAACTAAATGTTCAGGACTGGATTCTCCACATCTTTGCTAGTGCACATAATCCATAAATTTTTCGCAGTACCACCTGGGCAACATTCAATCATTCGTGGAGCAAGTGTTAACATCTGTGGCAGAGGTACCTACTGCAGGTAGAACTGGGTTCACCAACCAAAGGATAAAAAACTAATGAAAAGATGCTTTATTTCATTGGCAGAGCCACTTTTACAGACTCCTTAGTGCTAACAGCATTATTTCTTTACTGGAAATAAGTTGAAATAGTAGAAAGATTAGTTCAGTCAGTCCCAGGGGATATCTCTGCTGAAAAATCACTGATGTGGTAGGAAAATAATTTTTTTCCATCTTATTTTCTGAACCTTGTCCAGAAACACAGCAAAGCCAATTAGTTAAAGGTTTTGTTAATGTGCTGATACACTATTCTCTTAACAGTCCAAAGCCATGGAAGTCCACATTATAGTTTGGGAATCCATTCCTCTTTTTAATAGATTCAGTATGATTTATTTTCTTTTTTGCTTTCATTTCCATGGAAGTAAGATTGATACCTACATTAAAAAAATCATAACTTTACTAAAATTTAACAAATAATTACATTAATGATATTTAGCTGTCTTAAATTATTATTCTTTCAAGCCTTTTGACTTAAATTCTTTAGTTCCAAGTTCAAAATAAAGGGTGGATTATCTATTTCAAAAGTACTGTGTTTTAGTTAATTGCTAACATAAAGTCAACATTATAACTTTTGATGATCTCTGCTGTACCATGACATCTCTATATCAGACACTCTAATGTAACTTCCAGAAGGATCAGACGTAGCATTTCTTGGAAAGACACTACTATATGTTGGTAAAGATACACTATACATTATTTAAAATCACAGAGAGCAGCAATAATTTTTCAGGCTAAACTGAGGGACAGATTGGGCACATCTTATTTCATTAGTGAGCAGTAACTCACAAAGGATATCCCTTTGAAATAAGGTAAATCTTTCCTAATCCACAGGAACATGATTTTCACAATTTGTTTTAATTAGTAGAAGGGAAATGATACTCTTCTCTGACTCAAAAACCTACCATGACTGCTCAGTCTTCAACATTCAGATACATTTAGCTGGTCAAAATCTCTATAATTCCAGTGACTTTAAATAAGACATGCCAATTTGTACCTGCTGTGGCTCTGTCCTTTAACTTTTTAAAATATAGAAAATGAATTTTAGGTATTTCTAAATATTCTATTAAGAAACTTCACATAAGAGTCAATTATCCCTGCTGGAATCTGCCTGCTATTGCATTGCTGTTTACAAGCACAATCAGAGTAGACAAAAAGCGCCTAAAGAAAAAGACCTGAAGCAGTACTGAATAGCCAACAACTAATTAGTTTAACTCTAA